CCCCGGAGACAGGAAACTTGGGACACTACCTCTCTTCTCCCCAAAGTAGAGAGTCTGCTGGGCCGGGTTAGACCACTGCAGGGATGAGTCCTCATGATCCTTCACTTGGCACTTGAGCACGACGGTGCCACCAGCCACCACTGTCTCATCAGACGTCCAGGGCTGGCTATCTGCAGGAGCACCAGAGGGTTAGCCTCGTGGGGAAGCCCTGCCCCGCCACCCACTTCCGGGCCAAAGTACCACCTCCTCTAACCCAGACCGTCCAAGGCCCAGGCGTCTGCGTTCTCTGAAGGCGTCGTTGTGGGGCGGGGGGGAAGGAACAGAGGTGGCGGGGAAGGGGAGACAGACCTTATTTCCTCTTGCTTGCAATCCACAGAGAAATAGTCACCTGTTGGATGTTTGCTGAGTGAACGGACAGGGCCACGGCATTTAGAGGAATAGAGGCGCCCAAATCTACACACAGCACTGTGCACGCCTCTTTCCTGAGAGACGGCACTTTGAAAGCACGCACACGCACCTGCCTTCCAGGCTCTCCCTTCCTGCCTCCGGCTGCAGGTGAGAGCGAGGACAGGAGAGGCGCTTGGGACGAATAACCCCGAAACTAAAAGTGAGGAGGGGCCAAGCCAGCCTCGGGTCCCCCATTCGTTGACATAAGAGGGAGCTGAGAAAACTGTGCAAGAAGTAACAAAAAAGATTCAACAAAACAGAAGAACCCAAACATTTTGGCACAGACTTCGCCCCTCCTCCTGCCGTAGCTTCCTTGCATCGGTAACTCACATTTCTTCCAGGGTCAGGACAACCCGCCTCTCAACACACCAATCCGAATCACCCCCCACCCCCTGTGTTATTTTAAAGAGTAAAGGATTAAAATTTTCCCTTCCGTGCGATGGCAACGCTTTCTCACCCCTCTCTAGTCAAATTGAAAAACGACAGAAAGGACGAATAAGGTATCGGATGGATGGGCCATTTGACTCCCAAATGTGCCTTCTAGTTGGCTTCGCCGGGCCCCCTCCCCGCGTGACACTCGCTTCCTCCTCCACCCACCGTGGCTCCGTGTTCCCCTCGGCGTGGATTCTGCTCCCAGGGTGGATTCCCTCGTCTCCGGGACTTTCTGTGACCCCCATGGCAGTGACCCCCACAGAACTAAAATAAACAACGCCTTCCAGCTCTGATTCCCAAGCCTCTGTAGCATCTCTTCTGTGGCACTCACCTAGTTAACCAGCACCATTCTTCTCTGACTAGGAGGCCAAGAGACTTACTTCCTCCAGTCCCTGATTGAGTAATTTTAAACAATCCCCATGTTCCCTACGGCGCTGACCTTACCCCTGCCCTGTCTGGTATTCCTTTCTTTTTTGGCTACTGGAGCTCCATTTCCAAGAAATGCATAATGAATGCTCCTCGCAGAGAAGGGGCCCCTGAGGAGTCAAGGTAGCCTGTGCTGGGGTTGACAACAGGAATCCTGCTCCAGGGGGGCTGTCTACACACGGGAGCACAAAGTCTGGCCGCTGGTTTTCGTGTTTGGAATCAAAACAGAACTGAGGGGGATCTTATGGGATCACGGAATCCGATTCCCTCATTTTACGGATGTAGACAATGAGGCAATGGAGGTGGGGTGATTGCCTATGAGCATCCTAGAATCAGTGATTCCAGGTGGGACTGGAACTCGGTCTGACTCTCTCAGTGCAAGTGGCCTTTCTGTTGGAATGCTCCTCAAGTAACCACCTAACTTGAATCTTAAAACTACGATTTTTAAGATTAGTGAGCCAGAGATGGAGCTGGCGGAGTAAACTGGGACGTGATTTATCCCTGAAATATCTGAACGAAAAGGGCTGGGAGACCTTTCATTTACTGCCAGCCATATACCAAGTTTTGACGTGTAATCCTGTTCTCCCTGGGTCCCTTTGAAGAATTCTACCTCAGTTGTGTCTTCCAGAACCTGTTTATCCTGAGTAATACACGCCTCCTGGCGTCATTTTATTTTTGCAAAAAGGTGTAGAGATGCAGAGGTCTCTGTACTGGAGTAAGGGAAGAGGCGTAGGCGCGAGAGGGGTCGGTGGTGTGGAACTAAGAGCTAAAATGTCAGATGGAGGGGAGAAGGCGCTGTGCGGTAATGAGGGGAGTGGGGACAGAGGGCAGAGGCAGCATGAGTGGGAGATGATGTGAGGATGTGGTGGAGGGAACCGAGGGACATCGGGACGAGGGGCCTGGATTCTCACCTTGACCGGCCAGCATGTCAGGGCTGCTCCAGACTGTGGAGCTGATTGCCTCGCCGAGTGGAGCCAGAGTTCCCAGCTCCAAATCCTGCTCCTGCCAGTAGCCTGGGGAGAGAATCTCCATCAAGGATGAGCCCTACATACTGGCTGCTGCCCTCGGGACACTTGGGTTGCTGGGGGTGGGGAGAGGACAGGCCCCTCTGGAAAGCGGGCTCTCCCGGGATCCCTTCTGAGGAAGCGAGTGAGGTCTTCCTCTGGGAGGCGGGGGATTTGCCAGGAGGGTGCTAAGTGTCACCAGTCAGCCATATAATGTCAGAGCCCAAGGAGATCTGAAAGATCCTCTGGTCCGGTTCTCCCACTCTGCAGGTGAGGACAATGGAGCCTACAGCGGTGAAAAGTCACTCGGTGAGGGCCATGCCAGCAAATGAAAGACTGTTCATTCCTTAGCCAGGATTCTTTCTGCTACACCACAACGGCAGGTTTAATAATCAGGCAATACTTGCACTCTTCATCCTTTTAATAAACCTGTGAAACACACCCGCTGGTCTTATCATTCCTGTAATGCAGCGCGGACGCAGAATGCAGTGATTTGCCCAAGGTCACACGAGCCGAAGGACACAGACTGGAAGTGAAATGCCGGATCCCAAGCCCAGAGCTCGGTTACTTTCCAGCTGAGGCCCCTCCCAGTGCAGACGGGGCCGCGCTGGGCTGGAGGCCGCCACCTGCTGTATGGGGTGCGCAGCTCGCGGTGTTCCTCCTGCCCCGCCCCCTGCCGGCTGGGTCTCCCGGACCCTGCTCCCTGCCCGCCCCGGCACAAACCCCAGGGCCCGAGTCACCGCCTCTCTTCCCGGCCGGCGGCCCTGGGACCCGCCGCACGAGTACTGCACAGAGCCCGCGGGGCCTGCGTCCCCGGCGCCGCCTGAAGAGGCGGAGGGACAAAGGAACCCGCCACGCGAACTGGCCCGAGTCTCCCGCCACAAGCCACAAGCAGCCAATCAGGGACGCAAAGCGCGGTGACGTCATCGGCTGCCGAGCAGAGTTGGGAGCGGCGGCGCGTCCCGGGCCGGGAGTCGCGGGAACTTCTCGGGCGGCGCGGGCGCCCGGCCACCAGACGGGGCACGGCAGCCCGGGGATGCGGGGCGGGGGTGGGGGCCCAGCCCGGGAAAGAGGCCTGAAGAGAGGGGACAGGACGAGGTGGGGAACTGCGAGGTCCGAAGGAAAGGGGAGAAGGGACTGGGGCGGGAGGAGGAGGGGAGGGGAGGGAAGGGGAGGCTAGGGGGAGAAACTGGGCTAGGACCCCGAGAGAGAGCTTCAGAGGGTCACCACCGGCCTCCCCGGACCCCACACACATCCTCCAGGAGATCTGAGAACAGACTCTCCTCCAGCAGGAGAAGCGTTCAGGATTGGGAGGGGGGAGTACAGAAGACAGGAAACCCGGGACCCTTAGCGAGAAGCAGGCAGCAAAGGGGGCGCGCAAAGTGCTGGTGAAGAGAGGCTAGAAGGCTGAGGGTGCCCGAAGGAGAGGTGGCCGCTCAGGGGCCCTGAGAAGCAGCAGCGACTCCGCCGCCTTGCGTGGACATCGAGGCTGCAGGCACCCTGACGCTGGTGAGTGTTTCCTCTTTATTTTCCAGGTTGCGTGTTTGTGGGCGCTTGGACACACGGTGGAGAGCCAGACTGGTTGCATTAAGCTTGGGATGGTGGAGTGGATTGGGAAAAGCCGGGGAGGGCTCAGTGCTCAGCCCCCCAGGACCAGTTCTCTGGGCACAAAGGAAGCGCTAGCCAGGCCTCTGCGCACGTGAACGGGGGCGGGGGGGGGGGGGGGGGGGGGGGGCGCATAGCCATCTCCTACTTTGGCACAGGACCTTCAGTCTGCAGGATGGGTCTTCAGCCCCGAGTTCATTTAATGTCAAAACAACCCTGAGGCCCAGGCAACTCGACAGAATCGCTTCGTAGAGAGGAGGTCTTGAGGGATCCAGGGACTGGACCAGCACACCCCTCAAGAATGCTCTGTCTCCCTTGGGGCTCTCAAAGCCTTTTCAACAGCTCTCTTTTCTTCGTGTGGCATTTCCACCCATTGTATTGCCGTCACTTGTTTACCTATCAGGCTAAACCTGGTCTAAACTTCCAGCTGGTTAACAGCTGGGGCCCGACCCACCAACCCACCGACCGTATTCACCTTTGTGTCTTCAGCTCTTAGTGACCTTAGGCCTCTCAGCGCCTTCGATGGGCTCTGGTCTGGTGGCTCATCTGTCACTCCTGGGGCTGTGCTCTGCTGTTCTCCCTCAGGCAGAGGAGGGGCTGCCCACAGTGTAGACTCAGTCCCCACTCCGCATTCCTTCTTTCGTCTGTACTCTCTGGCTGCCTTCTCCTCAGTTGCTTTTCTCCCTGCATATCTTTTTCTCATCTCTCCCCTCCTCCTACATTTTGCCGGCATCTTCTCCCCTGTATAGGATGAACACCTGAAGTGGTCAGGTGGGGCATTCAGACCAGACTCCATTGTTCAGGTGAGGGGACTGATCACTAAAAGGAATAGTCTCCGATAAATGGCATCTGTCGTCCAGATGTCCGTGGAATTCACTCCAGTCTGGTTTGTAGCGTGTTTTAAGAACTTGATGAAGAGAGAGCTGTTTTAGGTGTTTCTTCTCTTTTCTTTTCTTTTCTTTTCTTTTCTTTTCTTTTCTTTTCTTTTTTCTTTTCTTTTCCTGCTGGGATGATATTTCTCCCTCTAATTCTGAAAGGGACTTAGGATCTCACGTCTCCTCTTGAAACCTATCGGGTGGTATGCCGGAAAGTTTTCTCACTGGGTTTATAACATTGTACACCAGTAATGATACATTCTGAATGGCCACTCTCCTGGTGGCGGACGAGCGATTGCAATGCTATTAACAGAAACATGGGTAACTAGCACAAGTTATGACCCGGGCTGCGAAAGTCTTGGGCCTCTGGGTTCAGATTGTGCCGGCCATTTATGACATCAGCATAAATTCCTCCCCTGGACTCCCGACTGGAAGGGAGAACTCTGGAGCGCTCTGAAAGGGTGGCATGGCCTTTGCAGTGGAATGTGCGAACGTTCTGCTCAGGCAGGGTCATTGGAAGGAAATGCAGACACTGGACCACAGAGCCACCAGTGAGGGGCGCCCAGGCTCCTCGCAGGGAAAAGCAGTGAGGAGAATTCCAGCCAAATGTGCCTTATTGTTTTCCTGCTTACAAGCCTTCCCGTTGTCTGCAGGTCACATCCAGATGTGTTAGCCTGGCCTTCAAGATCCTGGACAGTCTGATGTGACCATGCCCTTCAGCTTTGTCTTTCCTTTACCCCACCTGTATCCCAGACACGATGCCATTCTGAGGTCTTTCTAGAAACCCTTGGCTTTCCTGCCTACATTCCTTTCCTGCCATAGCCCTGCTGATAATGCTCCCCACCCTTCCTTGCGTTAAGCTCTTCCCGTGCTTAAAACCTACTCTGTGTGGCACCTCCTTTGAGCAGTCTTCCCTGATTGTCCCAGATGGAAAAACTTTCTGGTTCCTCTGACTTACAACACTTTATGTACTCGTCTTAAATTACGCATCACTCTGTGTTGTGCTCCAAGTTTGGCTTCCCTCTTAAGTGATAAAGATTCTGCAGGTAGGGTTGATGTCCGTTCGTCTCTGCGTTCAGTACTGCCCCTAATGCAGCATGCTGCACATAGAAGGTGCTTGATAAATACATCGTTAATAAATGAATCAGAGGTGATTGGCATCTTCTGTTGTAAGAACTAGGCTCAACATCTGCCAGTGGAGAGGAAACAGCAAAACCAAACAGGATAGGAAGAAACAGGACAAGGAAGAGGGTGGATCATCCAGAGGCTGAAGCCCTAGAAAACTTTAATGTTGTGCTCTGGTGCGAATCGATATTTACTGATCACCTTGTGTGTTTCAAGATCCAAGTTAGGGCTCTATATTCATTATCCAGAACAACACTTTTAACAGGTGTTGTTATGCATATGTGAAGGATGAGTTGACTAAGACTCAGAAAAGTTCAGTAACTCATCCATATGATGGAGCCAGAGAGCGTGGGGATGGGATGGCTGTCCACCTTAGACCCCTCCGACTGCAAAGCCCAGACTCTCTGCACAGCTTTGCTGCACCACCGCCCTCTGCAGAAGCGTGCATTTCGCGTGTGTGGTCCTGGTGGTGCAGGAGTTATGGGGTCAAGGTTCCTTTCTGCCATCGCTGGCCAGGGGCGGGTCACCTAGACAGTATTCACACTGCTCGCCTGCGGTCGAGCAGAGTAACTGTAGCAAGATGGGCACGGATGCTTGTGTGGTGATAGGATGATTTGTGCCCACTGAATGTCATTGTTAATTGGGTTTCTTCATGTGTCTTCATCTGTACCTCTGGGGGATCCTTCATTCACCCCTAAGAGCCTTACAACGGGGGACTTCTCAGTTAACCCAGCAGCAGATGTGTTTAGTTAAAGCTAACAGAATCCCCTCACGTTTTCCTAGCAGTCTGATGTCTGGGCTGAAGACAAAAAGAGTGTCTTGTTTGCCCTCAGTTGCCTTGGGGGTTCCTTAATTCTTGCTTTATTTACCCAAGCGTTCCAGTATCTTTAGGACTCATAGTATTTTAAAGGACAAAGTAGCCCTTTCATCCCCCCCTCCATGTCCTTCTGATTGATTGTTCCCATTAAGAGCCGCTGAGGTGGCTGTTGGAGACTTACTGATATGCCCTTGAAAACACCCGTGACTCGTGTTGTGCTCATAGCACATGCCTCGCATATAGTAAGTGCTCAAGAAATATTTGTCGAATAAATAGACGAGTGGCACGAATGAATGAAAATGTAGCGTGTCTCCACTCTAAGTGATGCTGGGAGGGAAGTCTTTGAAAAGGTGCCAGCGTATCTACCCCCTGATTGCTTGGTTCATGTCTCCCCTGCACGTCTGCTGTGGGAACCTACGGTGCATTGCCCTTTGGCCTGTGACACGGTCACAGGTGCACGTGCGGGGTGCTGGGACAGGGACAGAGCTCTCTCGTGTGACCGCTGCTGGCCTTGCTGGTGCCTGGGTCCAGAGCTCCACTTCCCTGCTGAGAGAAAGCCAGCTCCCCGAGTAGGAGTTGATGATGGTGATGGTGATGATGATGGTGATGGTGACTCAGCATTTCTGTAACTCCAGAGTTAAAAATACCCTGCGTCCCAGCCTACTTGTTATTCCTCACGACTACCATGACAGGTGGGTGGAGGAGTGTTATCTCCAAGGGAAAAACACGCTGGGGGCTGTGGCCCAAAATACTGAGGGGACCCACTTTTAGGATCGTTTCCCTACACCCTTCGCTGCCCCCCACCGCCCCCCACTCCCCCCGGGCCGGGTGATCTTGCCCTGATTCGTCCCTGACCTGAGCTACGCGGTGAATCCCTGTGTACATTTGGTTCACACACACAAGAGGACGGGCGTGGCGAAATCACATTCGGCACTCAAAAGCCCCTGGAGCTTTTCTCTTTGCCCAGAGCCACGTTTTCCTTAACTGTGAGCGTCTGCTTCTGCACCGGGAGGACGGTGGGCCAATCCCGGCGGAGCGCTGACTTAGATGCTCACTCCAAGATCTGGGGAGCGTCACTTTAGACCACGAGACCCTGATCAGACGAGGAACTCTTTTCGTTCTTAACTTTTACTCGACTCGCAAGTTCCTCTTGCGGCTGCTGGGGATTCTGCTCTCTCCTTCTGCCTTCCATCCCTTTCTAACTGTCCTGCCCCGAGGGTGCCCCGAGTGTGCCCCGAGCGTGCCACGGCTCAGTCGGGCAGAAGCTGGGGCCGCAAGCGGTGGGAGTTACTCTGTCAATTGAGACGGTCTGTCTTTCCAGGTGTATTTCCTGCTCGTCCTGTTGCTCCTTGGGGAGGGGCCTCTGGCCCCTCACAGGCTGCAGGATCTCCTGAGGGGTGCCCCAGCTCAGCTCACATGTGCTGGGGCTCAGGCTTGCTTCAGAGCTTCAGAGCTCGGCCCCGCTGCAGCGACCCGCGGCCTCCCTCACCTAGGCCTTCCCTCCACCCTCTCTCTGGCTGGGCCCCTGGGACCTCTCTCCTTGTTGCCTCCCTCCGTTTCTGTTGCTGTCTGGCTTTTCCTCCTGGAGCCTTGTTTATCTCCGTTCCCTCTGGCTCCCGGCAGCCTCCCGGGCCTGGAAGGCACTATTCTCTC